ACTTGCTTGAGCCCAGGAGTTGGAGGTTGCTGTGAGCTGTAATGCCACAGCTCTCTACCCAGGGGGACAGCTTGAGGCTCTATCTCAACCTGCCCCCCCCAAATTAGTGAGAATAACAGTGTCCATTTTCGTGTCATTAGGAAAGACAGGAGCTCCTTAAATTGCTGTTCCAGATTATCCTGGCTCTTGGTGCTACACAAACTTAACAGGTTTTAACTTAACAGGCCACTTCTTTAAAAGCATTTGTAGTATAGTGTGTGAAACCAGACTGATGAGCGTGTGTGTTCTCACTTTAAATTCTCCACTCTGGGCTGCCCCCCCGAGGGTCATCGTGCACTGGCTGTTCGGAAAATAGACCCATGGGAATTTTGGGAATTTGGGGAATACTGACCCATGCAGACCTTCTACTGACCTATGCAGATTTTCTGTTTTACCCTCTAATATTAAAAAAAATCCACACTCATTAACATCACTGTGATCTCACCAAAAAAGTATTAAGAAGCCACCAAGTTCACAGTAGCAGATGCAAGGTCTCCAAATTCTAATATTTCTTTGAAATATCAAATTTTATCCCTGACAACAAATACTCAGTTACTTTCCTTAAACTGATGGCTCATGCTGTTTGCTTTCCAGAAAATGTCTGCCACAGACCCTGCACCTATCTGCTGGGGGCAAAATGATACAAAGAGCATTGCAGGCTACTCAGAGATCCTCATAGACCCTGCATCTGTCTGCTGGGGGCAAAATGACACAAACAAGCCATCGCAATTAGGGAAGGAAAGGTGATCAAGGGTATCCATGTAGGGTCAGATGATATGATTGTATATCTGGAAAACACCACGGATTCCACTACAAAACTCTTAGAAGTCATCAAGGAATACAGCAGCATCTCAGGTTACAAAATCAACACTCATAAATCGGTAGCCTTTATATATACCAACAATAGTCAAGCTGAAAAAACAATCAAGGACTCTATTCCATTCACAGTCATGCCAAAGAAGATGAAATATTTGGGAGTTTACCTAACAAAGGACATGAAAGATCTCTATAAAGAGAACTATGAAAATCTAAGAAAAGAAATAGCTAAAGATGTTAACAAATGGAAAAACATACCATGTTCATGGCTGGGAAGAATCAACATTGTTAAAATGTCCATACTACCCAAAGCAATATACAATTTTAATGCAATCCCTATTAAAACTCCACTGTCATACTTTAAAGATCTAGGAAAAATAATACTTCATTTTATGGAAATCGAAAAAAACCTCTAATAGCCAAGACATTACTCAGAAATAAAAACAAAGCAGGAGGAATTACACTACCAGAGCTCAGACTATACTATAAATCCATAGTGATCAAAACAGCATGGAACCGGCACAAAAACAGAGGTAGATGTATGGAACAGAATAGAGAACCAAGAGATGAACCCAGCTACTTACTGTTACTTGATCTTTCACAAGCCAATTAAAAACATTGAGTGGGGAAAAGATTCCCTATTTAACAAATGGTGCTGGGTGAACTGGCTGGCGACCTGTAGAAGACTGAAACTGGACCCTCACCTTTCACCATTAACTAAGTTAGACTCTCACTGGATTAAAAATTTAAACTTAAGACATGAAACTATAAAAATACTCGAAGTACAGGAAAAACTCTTGAAGAAATTGGCCTGGTTGAATATTTTATGAGGAGGACACCCCAGGCAATTGAAGCAACATCAAAAATACACTATTGGGACCTGATCAAACTAAAAGCTTCTGCACAGCCAAGAACACAGTAAGTAAAGCAAGCAGACAGCCCTCAGAATGGGAGAAGATATTTGCAGGTTATGTCTCTGACAAAGGTTTATAACCAGAATCTACAGAGAACTCAAATGTATTAGCAAGAAAAAAACAAGTGATCCCATCTCAAGGTGGGCAAGGGACTTGAATAGAAACTTCTCTGAAGAAGACAGGCACATGGCCTACAGACACATGAAAAAATGCTCATCATCCTTAATCATCAGAGAAATGCAAATCAAAACCATTTTGAGATATCATCTAACTCCACAAGATTAGCCCACATCACAAAATCCCAAAACCAGAGATGTTGGCGTGGATGTGAAGAAAAGGGAACATTTCTACATTGCTGGTGGGAATGCAAACTAATACGTTCCCTTTGGAAAGATGTTTGGAGAACACTTAGAGATCTAAAAATAGACCTGCCATTTGATTCTATAAGTCCTCTACTAGGTATATATCCAGAAGAACAAAAATCACATTATAACAAAGATATATGTACCAGAATGTTTATTGTAGCCCAATTCATAATTGCTAAGTCACGGAAGAAGCCCAAGTGCACATCAACCCATAAGTGGATCAATAAATTGTGGTATATGTATACCATGGAATATTATGCAGCCTTAAAGAAAGATGGAGCCTTTACCTCTTACATGTTTACATGGATGGAGCTGGAACATATTCTTCTTAGGAAAGTATCTCAAGAATGAAAGAAAAAGTATCCAATATACTCAGTCTTACTATGAAACCAATTGATAGCTTCCATATGAAAGCTGTAACCCAATTATAGCCCAAGAAGCAGGGGAAAGGGAGAAGGAGGGGAGGGGAGTGGGGGGATGGGCGGAGGGAGGGTAATTGGTAGGACCACACCTACGGTGCATCTTACAAGGGTACATGTGAAATTTACTAGAAAATGCTGTGAAGGCTATGTTAACCAGTGTGATGAAAACATTTCAAATTGTATATAAAACCAGCACATTGTACCTCATGACTGCATTAATGTAAACAGCTATGATTTAATAAAAAAAAAATGACATAAACAGCATCGCAGGCTACTCGAGATCCTCACAGACCCTGCATCTGTCTGCTGGGGGCAAAATGACACAAACAGCATCACAGGCTACTCAGAGATCCTTATGGAAGGAAGAGCCAGTGGATGCAGGAAACTTCACTGCAGTCTCTTCTTTGTGTGTGTGTGTGTGTGTGTGTGTGTCAGAGTCTCGTTTTATCGCCCTTGGTAGAGTACTGTGCTGTCACAGCTCACAGCAACCTCCAGCTGTTGGGCATAGGCGATTCTTCTGCCTCAGCCTCCCGAGTAGCTGGGACTACAGGTGCCCACCACACACCCGGCTATTTTTTTGTTGCAGTTTGGCGGGGGCCCGGTTTGAACCCATCACCCTTGGTATATGGGGCCAGCACCCTACTCACTGAGCCACAGGCGCCGCCCTGCTGTCTCACTTTTTAAGGAATTCCACAGTCACCCCAGACTCCGGCCGCAGCCACAGCACTGAGACAAGGTCCCCCACACACATCAGCAAAGAAGTTACAACTTGTTGAAGGCTCAGATCAGTAGCATTTTTAAATTAGAGTCTGTACACTGTTGGTTTAGGGATAATGATGATGACACTTAGCAGCCTACGGGTTTGCACAAAACGTAACTGTGGCACATACTGGGACCCAGAAGGCTCCTGTGCAGTGTCTTCAAGGAATGCCTATGCAGCTACCAGTATTACGTGGGTTTTTAGCTTTGTGCACGTGTTACTTTGATTAAAAAAAAAAAAAAGAAAGAAAGAAAATGAAAATGAATCACAACATTAAGTAACAGGATTTTGTCCCCAGAAGGGACCTCTTTTACCCATAGACAAATCAAAGTCCTCACAGACTTTTCGACACAGAGATGGACGGCTGTGGAAGAGGCTAGTCTTCACGAGCTCCTCTGGCCAGCTGAGGACAACCTGG